TTAGATGTGTGTGTGTGTGTGTGTGTGTGTGTGTGTGTGTGTGTGTGTGTGTGTGTGTGTGAGTGAGTGAGTGTGTGAGTGAGAGAGAGAGAGAGAGAGAGAGAGAGAGAGAGAGAGCGCAGAGCGCAGTTTCGGGAGAAATCAGCATATTGATGTAGCCGAATTTTGGGAATGGGTCCAATTTTTATAACAAAAGACATTTACATATTGAGAGGAAGTGTGCTGTCTGAATTCTAACATCTCATGAGGCGGGCTTCGAGCGAGTTAGTAGGACCGTGCTGCCACTTATTGGTGACATTGGGTGTCCAGAATGAAGGTCAGTCTAATAAACTATTCTCAGTTTTCCAAAGTCATGGAAAAATGTACATTTATCAAAACCTGGAATATAAAATTGTGATTTTCAGGATGGGAAAATCTTCCAAAAATGTTATAGTTGCCCTCGTTCCAACCAGCTCCAACACACCTGCCAGTGTTTTTCATGACATCCTGAAGACCTTGATTAGCTGGTTCAGTGTGTTTGATTAGGGTAACTCTGCAGGACAGTGGCCCTGCATCTAAACATGCCTACTTCCATACTATATAGTAGGCAAAAATGAATAGTGGGTCCGAATCGAAACCTAAGCCTGATTATCATAGCCTGTTCTTTCATAATTTGATGACTTTTCTATACTCTAAGATGTGGAAAAACGTAACTGTAAAGAATGTGCAGTAGCAACAATACGAGCATTGCATTGAGGACAGTTGTGATATCATACACAATACAGCATTTGCAATAAAAATTAATATGACTGTGATCTTGATGATAGTGTGACATTAGCAGAGTTTATAACAAAAAAAAAAGAAACATCAAAGACAAAAAAAAGAGTACAATATGGAGTCTGTGAATCTCTGCCTCCTTGTATTGCTCTTCTTTTGTCCACCAGGCGGCGCATATTAGCAGTGACGTGGCGTGTCTAAGGTAACCCTCTTACTGCGAAATTCTCGCGCATGCGCATTTCTGCTATTATGTTTGCGCGCATGTGAATCTCGCGAGAGTTGCACCTTGCGCGGTGGACCGTTACCCTCCAGACGGTTGTGGCTAGAAGGGATACAGCTCCAATTAAATTTAATTATCTACCTATTAGATTGCGTTTTGTTAACATCTACAACTACCCCAACCCCAAACCTACCTATTACAATAATAAAAAAATTGTAATTATTGTTGTACAGTGTGACAAAAATTACGATGTATTGATGTGCGCATGCCCAGTAGCGCCATACGTATCCCTTCTAGCCTCGCGTTTGTGTACGTGTGTTAAGTTCAGTCAGCAGGCAGCGATTTGAGTGAATGCGGTTCTCTATAAGTCTTATAATGAAAGCCGCTCTCAACCGCTTTCACACACTCAGCCACAGAAAGCGGTGGAGCTTTACGTCTCTCTGCTGATGAAGTAAGTTACCAAAGCAGACACCTGAAACGGTTTCTCCAGAGATATTTGCCTCCAGAAGATTAAAAGTGCGTCTGAATGAGCTCAGCTATGGCGACGCGACTCTCTGACCTGTTTGGAAACAGCCGGATAATTGCAGGACTGCTGGTCAACTTACTGTCATCGATCTGTATAGTGTTCATCAACAAATGGATCTATGTGCACTATGGCTTTCCCAACATGACCATGACTCTCATTCATTTCGTAGTGACATGGCTGGGGCTGTTTATGTGTCAGAAGATGGATATATTCTCCCCCAAGAGTCTCAGACCTTCTAAAATCATCCTGCTGGCTCTGAGTTTCTGTGGTTTTGTTGTTTTCACAAATCTGTCCCTCCAAAGCAACACGATAGGAACATACCAGCTGGCCAAGGTCATGACAACACCTGTGATCATAGTCATCCAGACCTTGCACTACAGAAAGACATTTTCCACAAAGATTAAACTGACTCTAGTAAGTGGGTTTTTGTTTATTTGACTGGTATATTGCAAAAATATCACTTAACATATCAGTAGTTCATGTACAATGACCTGTCTACCAGCAGTCAAAATCTGGAAATAAACAAAAAGTTAAAAATATATAGTACAATGGAATGCACGTATGCAGCATTACGCAATATAATAATGTGTGTTAATATAATAACCACTTTGTAACCATCATTTTTATAGCATGCACATGGCCATGCATCAGTTTGAACTATGCTCTTGGGAAATGCTGATAAAAGCAAGTCATGGTTACATGCTGATTTGTTTATGCAAGGTAATGGGTCAAAACAGCTGTGATTTTTACTCCCCTTCATATAATTTATTCTTTTCTTTTTGATAAAAAGGTGCCGATCACTTTAGGGGTCATACTGAACTCTTACTACGACGTGAAGTTCAATCTTCTGGGGATGAGCTTTGCCACACTTGGGGTCTTCGTAACCTCGCTGTATCAAGTGGTAAGCATTCTTGCATTCTCCCTCTGTATCGTTATTGACAAAGCCATATCCCTTTATTTAAATCAGCAGGTGGTCAGGAACTGGCCAAATCAGAGACCCGCAATATAGCAATGCTGGTATTTACTGTATAACATAATTGCAATTTTATAATAACTTCAATATTTATTATATTTTCACACGCACATTATGTAGCACAACTGTTTTCAATGCTAGTAATAATAAGAATGTTTCTTGAGCACCAATTCAGTTTATTAGAGTGATTTCTGAAGGATCATGTGACACTGAAGACTAGTAATGGCTGCTGAAAATTCAGCTTTGCCATCACAGAATCAATATGAAAAAAAGCATGTTATTTTAAGTTTTTATTTTCTTTACATGAACTCATTTAGATATCATATTCACACAACTCATATCCATAAATCACCATTAAAAACAGCATTATACTTATTTATATATTTTTATCAATATATCCGTAAATCAATATCAAAAATAACATTAACAGATTTTACTTTAATATATTTATTAACTATTTGTACATATCATATTTACAAGACTGATATATCTATAAATCAGTATTAAAATAAACTTATTTTATTAACAGATTACACTTATTTTTAAGATTTATTAACTTTTTTACAAGACTGATATATTCCTAAATCAATATTAAAACAAACTTATTTTAACACAATATATATATATATATATTTATAAAAGATTTTTAAACTTTTTATATATTTGCAAGACTGATATATTCATAAATTAATATTTAAACTAACTAATTATTCAGATTTATTTTTAACAGATTTATTCACTTTTTACATATTTGCAAGACGGTTATATCCATATATTAATATTAAAATTAGTCTATTATTTTATTAACAGATTATACTTATTTATTTGAACAGATTTATTAACCTTTTACATATTCACAAATCTGCTATATCCATAAATCTGTATTAAAACTAACATCTGTTATTTTGTTAACATATACTTTTTTAAATTTTTTAACAGATTTATTAATTTTTGCTGCATACTAACAAGACTGATATATGCTTAGATCAATATTAAAACTAACTAAAGAATATTAATTTTCAGAAAGATTAAAATATGTTAAGAAGATAAGTCCCTGACTCATCTCGGAAGCTCAAGTCACATGTCCTCACGTTACTCAAGTGCAAGTCATAAGTATATCCAAAAGTCACTGTCAGACAAGTTCCCTTAACATTTCCCCTCACAGCTACAACATGTTTGGACACTTCAAGTTCTGCATCACATTACTGGGTGGGTGCGTCCTCTTCCAGGACCCTTTGTCCTTAAACCAAGGTCTGGGCATCCTCTGCACCCTCAGTGGCATCCTGGCATACACCCATTTCAAACTGGCAGAGCAGGAGGAGGGCAAAAGCAGGCTCACACAGAGGCCATAGGCCCCGCTGAAGTGCCAATCAACAAGAAAGCCAGTGTTCAGTGCCTGATTTCTTCAGGAATAGATAGCAATGGCTCCTGCACAGGAGCGTGAAGACTAACCAAACATAGACTGGAAGGACGTAGGTTTAAGTCATAGAGGCTGACAACTTTAATAGCATTTCAATCTTTTTAAGAGTTTAATTTTTATTCCAATTATTCAATATTTGCAAATAAACAAGCAAAAAAAAAGAGAAGTGCTGTTTGAGAGAAGAACTCTTATTGCTTAAGCATTTCCTTTTTATTTTGTAAGTGTTATTTAATGATGTATTTTTCAAATGGTCTGTACAACAATAAAATGTTTTATAGAAAGTAACACAAGAATGGAATGTTATCTTATGTTGAGTCTAGTCATGACTTTTAGGACAAGGGTCATTGCCTACTTGGCAAATAGACTTGAGTATCTGTGAAATGGAATGTCAATCATTTGTTCAGTTCGTGATGTGGGCTTTTCAACTTGTTTTTCTCTGTTGCAATGCGCAACTTAAACATTAGTCACATTCCAAAGTCCTGTCTCCAGTCTAAAATCTAGATGTGTTGCAGCTTTTTTTTTTGGTGTGAATTAGGGCTGCACGATATATCGAAATATCGCAAATGTAAATATCGCGATATGCATATCGCAACGGCGTGCGATATCTGCATCATTTTAATAATAGGCTACTTAAATCAAAACGCTGCAAAAGGTCAAAGTTTCAGTTCGACGCATATAGCAGAGAATTGCTTGACGTTAAAAAGAGTTAAGTGCAATAAGTTGCAGAAAACAACTATTTGCCGTCTCGTCTTGCTGTCTGACTCACAATAAAACGCGTTTCAGACAGCGCGCGAACACCGAGTTGATTCGTCTTTCGCATCTCCTCCTCATGTTTGAACAGACACATACACACAGCATTATGTCAATAGTACCCGTCTCGACGATCATTCTCATAAACGCAGTCGGTTATGTTTTAAATGAATGTAAACAGCTGAGAAAGAAAGAAATCGGATCCGTGCAGTCGGATTTAAAGGGACAGCAGCCCTTTATAAATACCTGCTGCTGAATATGTCACTAATGTTAATCAAACAACAAAACACAGCTTTAACAAAGATTAATCTAAGTTTAATTCATACAGTGAACACAATGCAGTGTTATTTTACACTTATTTATTACATATCTGTACCTGAATACTACTGTTTATTTTATCTATGCTTGTAAATTGTGTATTTGTTCTTTTTTACTGACTGTTCACTTGCCTTTAATCATGTTTGAACTTTCTCAGACTATAGTTTTTGCTGTGGTATATGAAGAAGTA